CCAGGCTCCACCACCACCCAATCACAACGATCCCTCTCACCTGAGTTCTGAGCACCAGCACCTGTCACTAATCAAGCACCTCATTAACCAGCCCGCACAAAAGCACACACCTCAGACACCCTCATGATCCGGTCTCGTATACACGTAGAGGATGTCCCAAATGCCCTGGAACATCTCCGAGGTGCGACCATCTTCACAAAGTTGGACCTCCACAGTACCTACAACCTCATCCGGATACGTGAGGGGGATGAATGGAAGGCTGACTTTGTGACCCCTACTGGCCACTACGAGTATCTGGTCATGCCCTATGGACTTGCCAACGCACCCTCCGTATTCTAGGACTTCATGCATGAGGTGCTCCGGGAGTTTCTCCATCGATTCGTCATTGTATACATAGATGACATCCTCATCTACTCCCGGAGCCAGGCCGAACATCGCCAGCACATTGCGGAGGTCCTCCAACGCCTGATCGCCAGCACATTGTGGAGGTCCTCCAATGCCTGAGAGAGCACCACCTATTCCTCAAGGCTGAAAAGTGCACTTTCCACCAACCCACAGTGCAATTCCTGGGGTATAACATTGATCGTACCGGTATCCAGATGGACGAGGGGAAGGTGGAAGCTATAACCTCCTGGCCAGAACCCACTACAATTAAAGAGCTCCAACAATTCCTTGGATTTGCCAACTTTTACCGTCGCTTCATTCTAGACTATAGCAAGATCACCAGCCCACTCACAAGCTTACTACGAGGGAAACCCAAATCTCTGTCCTGTACACCCGCGGCCTTAGAAGCTTTCTCCTCCCTCAAGAGAGCCTTCACTAGCGCCCCACTCCTAGTCCATCCAGATCCCGACCTCCCATTCGTCGTGGAAGTCGACGCCTCCACTACAGGAGTGGGGGCAGTGCTGTCCCAGCAGCAGGGGAACCCAGCCCGACTCCACCCATGTGCCTTCTTCTCAAGGAAGCTCAGCCCGGCGGAAATTAATTATGACATCGGCAACAGAGAACTACTGGCCATCAAGCTGGCATTAGAGGAGTGGAGGCATTGGCTGGAAGGGGCAGTCCATCCATTCACCGTACTGACCGATCTTAAAAACCTCCAGTATCTTCGTGAGGCTAAACGTCTAAATCCAAGCACCACCAAAGATGATCGTCAGTCCCATTGAATGGAATTCCCCTTCAGTGGCTCAAACATGGCTCCCAACAATCCGCCAGGCTGTCCTCCAGGATGCCAGTACTTACCACCAACACAACGCACCCCACTGATTCACTCTGCTCACTCCTCCCGAGGCACTGGCCATCCAGGGGCCAACAACACCCTCTCGCTGCTACGAGATCGCTTCTGGTGGCCCAATATGGCAAGGGACGTGAGAAGGTTCGTGCAAGGATGTCCAGACTGTGCCATGTCCAAAAGCCCGCGCCACTTACCATCTGGCAAACTCCTTCCTCTACCAGTGCCAAATCGCCCCTGGTCACACCTAGGAGTAGACTTTGTCACGGACCTGCCACCCTCCGAAGGTAACACATGCATCCTGGTAATTGTTGACCGTTTCTCAAAATCATGTCGCCTTCTGCCCCTCAGAGGTCTTCCCACTGCACTAGAAACTGCTGAGCTTCTCTTCAACCAGGTCTTCCGATATTATGTAAGTCCCGAAGACATCGTCTCCGACCGGGGACCTCAGTTTATCTCCAAAGTATGGAATGCCTTCTTCAAACTCCTAGGTGTGACCGTAAGCCTCTCGTCCGGATACCACCCACAATCGAATGGTCAAACGGAGAGGAAGATTCAGGAGGTGGGGCGATTCCTGCGAACCAATGCCTTCAAACTCCTAGGCGTGACCGTAAGCCTCTCGTCTGGATACCACCCACAATCGAATGGTCAAACGGAGAGGAAGATTCAGGAGGTGGGGCGATTCCTGCGAACCTTCTGCCATGGACACCAGGATTCCTGGAACCAGTTCCTGGGCTTTTTCTCTTGATATACAATCACTGATGAACACCTTTGGTTTTAATGAGAGAAAAAAAAACTACATGAGGCTGGATTAGAACCCAGAACCTCGGAAATGCGTGACAAAAGTCCTGCCATTAGACCACTACAAAACACAAACACTTTATGCGAATTCATTTATTTATTCAGTACTGTGAAGCATCTCGAAAAAAGTTGCAAAATATAAATGAAGTATTGTGAGACAATAATAAGTTTTGCAAACAAAAATAAAGAATTGCAAAATATAAATATAAATGTAAATGAAATGCTGTTAATACACATAATTAATAAAACGAAACCATGCATGTTTTAATGCTAGAGAATAAAAGGAAACGATCCACCTGCATGCCTCTGCTCAAAGATGGTGCCTGGATCAGTGAGCTGCGTCTCGGGCCGATGACTTCACTTCCAGGGAGGCATGCCCAGGCCTGTTGTACACGCCCCAGTCCCTTGACTCCACTCCCATGTCAAAACAGTGCCAGAAAGCAAGACGCGCAGAAACGTGTTTCGTTTGCAAAACTTTATTTTCGTTTGCAAAACTTTATTTTCTTTTGCAAAACTTTATTATTTTGCATATATATGTCGCATTATATTCACTCCATAGTAATAACCTGTAAAATTACAAATAATTTATACTGTAAGTATTTTGAAATTAAAAGGTACCTATTCTAATATTACGTGGTATGTAAACAACAAACCATGTAGTTACAGGGTAAATACAACATTTGCGGGCTGTAAATTAAAGTGGTGCTTGTTTCCCCCCTGTTCCATGTAGTTAGAGTGGCTACAACAAATTGCTCTGAAACGAATATTTATACAGTAGGTCATACATACATACATTATATATCAGGTAATATATCAATAAACATGGTGTACTGTTTTATTTAATTCAAATATTGTTTGAAATTTACTATAGGCCTACTGCTGGGTTAAATTAACCCAAAATCACACACAATATGACAACAGTAACAACACAGGCAACAGATAGCCTAATAAAAGATTAAAATTTATTACACCATTTCAGAAAAAAACAAAGCAACTCCATACTTATACAGCTTATACAGTTAAACCAAATTATTTTGAAAAGCTTGTTTAAGAACAAATTTAAGATTTTGTTCAATTTGTTCATGTTTTTCACCCACTGACTAAGCTAAACTATTATGGCCAAACCATGACACCAATAAAAACACAGTAATAAACACTGAAAGTCAAGATTAAACTGTGTATTATAGCTGTCACGGGTTGCTACGGTGCGGGAACACGGAGCAAGGAACGATGAGACTAGGAGTACAAAACCAAGGAATTTATTCATATCGCGGGGAATCACACATAGCACAAGGAGTAGACATCAACAATACCGGACAAAACAACAGGGAACAGAACACTCTTTAAATACACTGAACAAGATGATGGGATCAATCAAGACACACCTGGGATCAATGGAAACCACATAGGAAACACCTGGGACAAATGATAAACAATCAGGGAGCAGGAACAGGAAGACCAAATGGGGGCATGGAAACATAAACATGTGACAGATCGCAGATCGGGGGCGGGTGCCGCCGGAGTGTTGTTACCAATGTCCTGTTACACATTTGTACTTACACATACCATTCAGTGGGTTGTTACATATGTGTAGTTACACAAACATTAGAGCTGTAGATACTATGTACCAATGTGTACTTTGGTTACATACAATGGTACTGTGGTTACATACTATGTACACATCTAGGTACTGTGTAAGTATGTATTAGGGCCACTTAATATAAAGTGGGACTGAAATAATTTGTAATTTTACAGATATTATTCCCTTATACCTGCATGGAGGTACTGAATACCACAGACTGTATAAAAATATGGACATAGTGTCCGTGACGTCACCCGTAGGTTTCTGAAGAGTGTTTTTGAAGTTCAAAGTGGGCGGAGCCGGCTGTCGCCATCTTGGCAGCGCGTCACCGTGTACTCTCCCGGATAATCGAAAATGGGCAAAGAGGCAGGAGCTGGTTGCTTAAACCACGCCCACCTAAACGGATGAGTTATAAAAAAAATCACCCTTTTGGAGCCAACCTCTAGCGGCCAGTCGGTAAATTGCAGTTTTAGTCACTTCCGTGTTGGTTTCACGAGAGAGACCGGAAGGTTGCCGCTTGATAGGTACACTATAATTACAAAAAAAGTTCTGCTTTAAATTCTGTTTACTTGCGCAGTACATTGCGGATTGTAATCTAAAGCGTTACCCAGAATTTTTTTATTTTTTTTATTTTATAATGGATGTCAATGGAGGATTGTCATATAGGACTGAAGAAGACTCAAGACTGGATACAAAACTAAGAACTAAATTTATTAAACCAAAGGCAAACAGGCGCAACAGTGTGTAAAAGACAAACAACAACCGACAACTGAAGAGTGAATTAGAGCAATTTAAATACAGAGCAAGTGAGGGAACTAATGACTAACATCTGCAACAATCAAATGAATGTGAATGGAAAACTGAACAAAGGAAGACAGGAAACTAATGAAAACAAACTAAAAGTTCATGATAATGAAACTAAAAGAACATAATGGTGACAAGGATAGGTTTCACTACATTGAATAAACTGCTTTTGTGGGAAAATAGCATATCATTTAATGAATCAACAGCCTATTGGCTAATCTTCAACATCTTTGCCATCAAACTTTTATTTTGGATTACAAAATAATTCACATGAAAAAAATTCTGTAAGAAAAGTCACTAACAATTTTGTGAAAGGTAGGATTTAGTTTATGGTGCACCTCATTTATTTCAAAGGTATCCACAAACAGCACAATTCTGACAGAAATTAATGACGTCAAGGCCGTGATGTGATTAGTTATCAAGGCACACTTCATCCAAGTTGACCGTTACTCTTTCTCCAATTGTAGATTCAGATACCTTGTGCCTGTTGCCCTCATATTTCCATGGGGATTCTTTATCGTGTCATGTTTTAACAGGTATGACTGTGAAAATAACACATACAATTCTTAAAGTAAACATAAACAACCGGCTGGATGTACATTATCCCTTACTTAAAGCTCCAGTTACTGTTATATGATGCTATTAATAGTATTCATTTGTGTTGAATGCTTATGATCATTTGAAGTTAGTTAATACTGCAATAAAGTCCAACAGCTGGTTTCTGAAAGTAAAAACTCAATTTATTTTCTCCATAGGCAAATTAATTTTTAATGATAACTTAAAACTCCTGTGAGTTCTGAGGTAGTTAATCAGTGATGTGCTTTTGTTGAAGTCATCCGTTCACATTATTTAAACTTATTTCTTAAAATAAACGTGTTTAACAGCTGATTTTCTTGTGAAAAACTACATTACCCATTATGATACCCATGATACATTCATAATTCTGTCTATTTTCACTATATTTTTATTACCATATAGTTATTTATTTTATTTATTGTCTATTCTCTTATTATTAGTGTTATATTTCATTTTATTACCTTAAATTTTGTGTATGTCTGCACCATGTCGGCACTTTCTGCACTGGAAGCTTCTGTCACCAAGACAAATTCCTTGTGTGTGTAAACACACTTGGCAATAAAGCTCATGTTACCGGCCTCAAATAGGGAAGGATGAGAGCTAGTAACTATAGGAAATGATGAGATACACTATGTGACGAGTGGGGGCGGGGCCGAGAGCCGTGGGAACGGAGCGAGGCCGGTGGAGTAATTGATAATGAGCGACACCTGCACCACTCACCGGTCTCGAGTCCCACGGAGGAGCTCCGGAAGGATAAAAGGAGGAGCTACGACAGTGAAAGACGAGAGAGGAACAGGCCTGGATTTTATTTTGTGTTTTGGTTCTGTTTGTGCATAAACAGCCCCTCGCGGACAACTGTCGCGCTATTTTGTGTTTATTTTATCATTAAAGTTTTCTTTGAACGTTCGCCAGTTCCCGCCTCCTTCTTCCCGTGACTACGAACTTTGTTACACACATAGATTAGAATCTGAAGTGTTCTGGTGCTTTTTTTAATGGCTTTTTCCTTTTTTTTTCCTGGCATCAATACTAAGTCAGTCTATCTTCTCATAGTCAGTCATCTAACAAGTCCAGATAGGCATTGGTTGCCACCAAGGAACTGCATTAACTACCTGGTAAATCATTGGAGTTCTTGAAATCATGTAAGTTTGGACTGCATTTAAATGACTTTGTCT